CCTGGGATCGAGTCCCACATCAGGCTCCCCCTGCTCTGCGGGGAGCCTGCTTCTCCCTTTGCCTCTGCCTGCCACTCACCCTGCTTGTGCTCTCTCTCTCTGTCAAGTAAATAAATAAAATCTTAAAAAAAAAAAAGAAGAAGAAGAAGAAGGACATTTCCTAACTGTCATAGCACTAGCTCACCAAAGAAAATCAACACACCCATAAGATCATCCAAGATCCCAAAATCCGGATTACCCCCAATATCCTAAAATTGTCTGTATCCCTGTATCCTCTTAAAGATACTCATTGCATTTGGTTGTTTTGTTTCTTTAATCTCTCTCTTTAAAAAAAAAAAAATTAGTAGAGTTTATTTTGGGGGGAAATTTTTAGAAGGATTACAGAAAAATTAAGCAGAAAGTACCCGTGTACCCCCTCTCTTCCCACACAGTTTTCCCTCTTTTATTCACATCTTTGGTTAACCTTTATTCCCTCTGATACTAGAATGGTCCCCTCACCTCCCCTTCATCACACTGAAATGTGTGTGTGTGTTTAGTAGAGTTTCCAGGGTGCTTTTGATGGGCAACTGCATTCAAAAACTACTGGTCCTAGTACCTAGGACCTAGGACCCAGTACCTAGGACCTAGGATCCAGCAGAATGTATGAGTGAGGCAATGGAAAAGTCTGCTGATGCACAGAAGGTAGGTGGACAGGTGTCTACTGAGGGTGGTTCATTGGATTGGTTTTGCCCAGGTGTCAAGGACTCAGCACCCACTTAAGATCAGAGCAAACAGCAAGGAAGACTTGGGAGTTATTTTGTCTCATAAAAACCGTTATATTATCAATAATATATTTACAGAGTCTGTTTCCTGACTCAAGTCTTTGTACCTTCTGGCCAACAGTAACCAGGCTCACTGTAGTTGAACATGCTTCTTTGGTTATCCCACCCCATGGCTTCCCCCTTACTTCAAGTCTTCCAGATGAATGGCCTTTCTCAGCCTTGGTTTTCTTGCCTATGAGATTTAGATGATCAGCCCTTGCTTGCCAAGGGTTTGGAGATTGAATAAGCTCATAACTGGCAGGGGGTTGGGCGGGGAGGAATGGGGATCTCCTCCTGGTGCTTGGGGTGTCTTCTTCGACATCCCTGCCCAAACCCTACCCCCCTTCCAAAAGCCTCACTCAGCCCCTCCAGAAAGGCCAAGTGCTCAGGCTCTGGTACCTGTCTCCCTTGCCAACCTCCTGCTGCACTTAGTCTGAGGCTCAGTTTACCCAGAACTTTTTGCCTGACTGACCCTTCTTCATGGGTTTATTCAGTCTCCACTCCTACTGTGTGCTCTCCAGGAGGGGAAGGCAGCACATCTTCTGCTCCCTGGAGCTCAGGCTGGCATCATATATGGTCAGACCCAGAGGAGAGCCTCAGCAAGCCCATGTGCCTCTCCAAAGCCTCGGTTTCCTCATTTGTAAAATAGGACAGTAAAGGGCAGGAGAGCAGAGCAGTTAGGGGGCATGGATCCCAGAGCTGGACTCCTTGGCTTAAATCCATGTTCTCCCATTGATTACACAGCAAATTACGTGTCCTTCTGAGCCTCATTTGTGAAACAGGAAGATTACAATATTGGATTATAATAGAGGACTATTGTGAAGATAAAATCAAGGTGTGTCTACAAAGCCTAAAGGCACAATACACAGCAGTGATTATGTAGAATTCAGCTGCACCCTATAGGCGCTTAATAAATGTCTCACATTCCTACCACATCATGCACAGTCTCAGGCACCATATCAACGTTTATTACAGATTATCCATTGTTGTGTTGGCCTTGGTCACAAAACCTTCAGGTCATCTTAAAAGCACATCTGGTTTCCCACCCTGGGCCTCGCCAATATTAGAACATCCATACATTTTTAATTTCCTCTTGAATTTCAGGGTGCAGATGAAGAATGGGGGTGACAGCACATCTCGGGGGATGATTCATGGCGTCATTAAGTGTGCGTCGAGTTTCCTGCAGCTACTGGTTGCCCAGGCTCTGCCCAGACTCAGACATGGGAATTATTTTTGCTGTGTAATTATGTTGAATGCCGGTGAATCCCATGTCTCTCCTTGACTTGGACCTCACTTTTTTTGTTCATTATGTCTCAGTGGATATTGAAATATATAGACATATAGATAGGAGTTCAACCCGTTGAGGTTTCCACTCACCTTTCTACCTGGAAGGTGTAGGATGTTGTGGAAGGGAAAAGCGTGAGGTTCAGATATGACCCACCAGTGTTCAAATCCAGGCTCTGCCACTTAGCAGTGTGACCTTGAGAGAATGGCTTTTCACGAGTGAGACTGTTTCCTCATCCCCAAGATGGGGCAAGGATCTGATCCTGATGAGATCGTGCGTACACATTGCGTGTGTGTAGAGGTGGCTTTTTCATTCTTCACCCGATATTCATGGAGCATCTACTCATGTGGTAAAATGATGGAGCCGCATTCACAGGACAGCCTGGCAGGGCCAGGGTGTAGTCCACACTAAGACACGTGTCTTGGCAGCTGGCTCATTCTGCAGCCCAACAGACTGCTTCGATATCCTCGTCCTTTTCATGTGCTTCTCAGAGCAGGGTCATATATAGCAACTGCTTGTTCTTGAACCTCTGCCCTCAGTCTGGGGCCTTCTCTAGCCATGATGGGCAGAGCCGTTAAAAAAAAACCAAAAAAACAAATGAGCATTAAGATTTTTAAACATACATTTGCTAGGAGCAGTGTTTCGAAGGGAGTAAATAATACATGCACGGTGAAGCATACCACCCTTCGCCTTGCATGAAGTGTTGGGGGCAGTGGAGGTGGACACGGGTGACATTCGCAGGAACTGACTATACCGAACACATATGCCCTCTCTAATGCCTCACAGATCCCCCGTGAGATAGGGCATTATTGTCCCCACTCCTCCAGCTGAGCAAGTTCCAGCTCTACCAGGGACCTGGCTGGGCCCAAACAGAGCCAGGATTTGAACCTCGACCTGTTTGCCTCTGAAACCTATTTTCCTAGCTTGGGAGGTTAGAAAGTGCAAAGTCCTGTATTTCTGGATGTTCGTATCCAGATCTCCCTACTAAACCTTCAGAAAGTTAAGTCGCCAATACTTAGAGTGTTTTCATGTTTATTCTCTTCTTCATCAATTCGCTTAATAAACATCAGCTGGGTAGCTACTGGGTGGCAGGCACTAGAGCTTCACCCACTCATCCAACACACCCTAACTGAGTACCTACTGGCTGCCAGGGCACTGAACTTCATTCATTGAGCACATGTTTGTGGAGCAGCTGCTTTGTGCTAGGACGCTGTTTTTGGTGCCGGAGTATGGCAGTGAACATGCCAGACAAACCCCCTGCCCCTTGGAGCTCTTACCTCCACAACGTTGCAAGGTTGACCTGGTTTCCCCCCATTTCACAGCTGAGGACACTGAGGCAGAGAGACAGGCGACTGCCCCAAGGCCACGTAGCTGGTGAGTGGCAGAAGCAGACCAAGCTTCAAGTGACAAATGTTATCTGGACAAGGTGACATAGGAAATACTGTTAATTCTGTGTCGCATCGCAGGGCTCAAAGGAAAGTCTACAGAGGATGATGCTACTGTCTGTGGGGTTGGAACCCTACCTCTGTTACTTCCACCCGTGTGTGCTTGTGGAGGTCGCCCCACGCCCCCTTGCAGTGCTTGGGGGTCATAATTCCTATCCACGGAGTTGCTGTAAAGATTATGAATGAACGTGGCTGTCAGCTCCGTGAGGGCAGGAAGCCCATCAGCTTGGTCTCCCTGGTAGGCATGGCACCCAGCACTGTGCCTGGCACACAGTAGGTGCCCAGCCTGGGGGTAGCTGTTTCAATGACAACTGACTAGCCCCTCCACTCAGTTATGGGACCAGCCCAGTGCTGCTATGGCTAGATGCCCAGGACCCGCTGGCTCACGTCAGCAGGCATGCTAGAGAGTTATTCTCCTTCAGATAGACAGACAGACAGCGGCAGTTCCCAAGATGTTGCTGGAGTCTCTCCTTAGAGAAGCAGGGTGCCCCGCCTAGTGTTTGTACATACCCGTCTCCCAGTGACTCGGAGAAACTTCTATCCATTAGCGCTCTCCCTGGCCAAGGTTCTGGGAGGCAGGCACGGGGACATCTTGATCATCTGCCAGCCATCCATCATGCGATGCTCAGAGTTCCATCTGAGTCAAGCTGTCCAGTAAGGACAGCTGGGGGGAAAAAAAATGAGTCTTCCCAGGCCCCTGAATGAGAACAGCAGGCTGGTTTGAAATGTCCAAAGCCGGGTCAGGAACGGAGAAGATCATCTCCCTCCAAGGGCAGAACAGGGACCCTCCCTCGGAAGCCTGCAAGAGGGTGTCTGCATTCACATGAAATTCTGCAGTCTGCACACAGAAAGGAATGGATGCAAGCAACTTTGTACTTGGAGTGGAAGCGCCGGCGTTGCAGAGATGGGGGTGGATTTCTGAATGGCAAATCCTGGAGGCAGCACTCAGCCACGACTCCTTTCGTTCTCTCCTGCTGCCCTGCCCCTCCCTTCCCCATGTCTCCTGCTTCCCTTCTCTCTCTACCCCCCCCTTCTCCTCCTCCTCCTCCTCCTTCTCCTCCTCCTCCTTCTCCATCCTGTCGGCTCCCCAGGAGTCTACACAGCTTGGCTTGTGCTCCTATTTCAAGCCCAGCAGCTGAGGCTCTGAATGCACCAGACAACTCCAGGAAGGTGGGACCCCCCGCCCCCCCCCAAACACCAAGCCCTTGGGCCCCTCGGTGGATCTCAGTGACCACCAGGCTGGGGCATTTTGGCTTGTACCTCTTATAGGAAGGTGCTGCTTCTGGCAGGCCTCCGGGAAGGCAATCAGATCTGTTGGGTCTAGTGGAGCGGGGCTGGGG